TTAGGCCCTGCAAGGGGCTCTCAGGTCTCCCTGGAGCCTTCTCTCCTCCAGAAGAGCCCTTTCAGTGCTGGCCAGGGCTGGCTGGGGCTCATTCCTGTGTTCCCAGGCCAGCAGGGATGACATTTTTGTCCAGGCTGCCACAGTCAGACCTGGAGAACATCTCGAGATGTTTCCCTGCTGTTTGGACAAGTCTGGTGGGTTTGGCTGCATTCCCAGCTCTCCCCAACCTGTGTGTAAATACAAAGTGGCTCAGAGTGAAGCTTTGCCAGGGGGCAATTCCTGCCTGGAGAGGAAGTGAAGATGTTGGATGTCACCGAGGGACGAGGCGTCCCTGGAACCCACCCTGCTGCCTCCGGCTCCTCCACCCCCTCATCCCGGGAACACAAACATCCTCCAGAGGATTCCCAGGAACACAAACATCCTCCAGAGGATTCCCAGGAACACATTTGGGAAAGATTTCCCCTTATGAGAAGCAAAGACCCTTGAGGGCTCCTCCTTCCTCTGGGTTTTTTACAGGGTGTCTGGCTCTGCACACACCGACCTGAGAGGGGGTGTCGATGTTCTCTCAGTAGAGACTTTGGAAGTCTCATCTCTGCAGGAAGTTTCCTGGAAAACTCCCTAAAAGAAGGCACAATATCCCCTTAAAATCCAGAAATCCTGGGAGCTCAGTGTTTAGTTTGTTTACAGTTTAAACATCCTCCTCCCAGGGTTCCAGACTGTGACGTTGTCATGTGTGTGCTGGGCTGGAACATTTGATGTGTTGGGTAATTTTCTTTATTACTTCCCCTTTTGAAAATGCTGGGGCCATGGAGCCATTTACCAGCAGTGGAATTATGCAAAGGAGGAACTAAGGAAATAGAGGAAATATCAGAGGAAGCTCAGAAAAAAAAAAATGAAATGAAGGATCAATATAATTTACCAAAACCTCATGTTTTTCAAGGGAAACCAGGCAGGTGATTAGTTAAGAAATCAGAGAATATCCTTATAGAATCATGGGATGGATTAGCTTATAAGAGAACTTAAAGCCCATTCAGTGCCACCAAGGGCACCTTCCACTGTCCCAGGTTGCTCCAACCTGGCCTGGGACACTTCCAAGGATCCAGGGGCTGGGGATTGATCGCTCCAGGCTCAGTTCTGGGCAGGAAGGATCCTCTGCACAATTCCTGCAGGGGGTTAAAGAGCCCCACAAGCCTCACTGCAGAAGAGCTGCTCCACCTGTCACCCTCCCAGCAGCAGCTGGGGCTCAAAAAGACATAAATAAAGCAGGAGAGAAGAAGGAGGGCAAGTGGTCTGGACCATCTGCAGGGACAAGAAGCAGCGAGGGAATGTTCTTCTCAGCTTTTCTGTGCTGTAACACAAGAGAGGCCCCCTGACAGGGTGATGAAGCTCCAAACCAGATGGTATAACAGGGTATGGAATGCTCCCCTTCCTCCTCCTCTGCTGAGCTTTTGGGGCAGGTTGGACAGAATTCCACCCAGGAATGCTGGGGGTGCCTGGCTATTTTCCTCAAGGTCAGCTGCTGCCCTTCCTTCTGCAAAGTCTAGGACTTTCCTGTAGGATTTGACCCTAAATTCGTGGATTTTAGCCAAACAAACCCTAATCAACCCAGGGCTGCTGGAATGGGGGTTGGGGAGAGCTGAAGGCCCTCAGCACTGGGGTGACAATGTGCCAGGACAGCAGCTGAGGCACCACAACTCAACCTTCCCCTGAACCCTCAGTCCTCAGGCAGCACTTGCTCCTTGAGGGCAACAGTTCTCCCGATATTTCCTATGGAAACAGGCCAAGGACACTGGTAAGTGAGAGAGCAAACAGGAGCAGGCTGGGGACAGGGACAGAGCCACCTCATCACAGACACGAGCTGCTCCACCCCAGTGACACCCCCTGTACCCCTGGCACTGCCATCTCTGCCACTGCACAGCCCAGCAGGGGTGGCTCTGGGGTGGGCAGAGCTGTCCCCACCTCCCACTGCAGGGACATTGCAGATCACACCAGCAGCACGAGGTGACAAGGGCCAGCTCCCTCTGGAAGGATCCATCCCTTTTTCCAGCCTCCCACCCGTGCCTGTGGGACAGGAGCTCAGCAGCTGGGAAAGCTGCTCCAGAGGGGGTGTCCCAGTGCTGCCAGGAGCTGGGGGCACTTCCCTGGGATCACCACCCTGGGCCCGAGCCCACCTGCTGCTCTCAGGCCCAGCAAGGAGACTGTTAAACAATGTCAATCAACACTTTATTTACCAAAACCACATTAAAATACTCCAACGACTGTGCCGTCCCGGCTCAGGATCCCGGAGGAGCCTTGCAGAGCTCGTGCAGCAGCACCACTTTCATGGCCAGCAGCACCTCCCGGTGTCCGGGGCGGCTCCTGTGGCTGCTGTGGGACAGCCTGGCAGCCTCCAGTGCCACCTCCCCGAGGAGCCCCGGGCTGCCCAGCCCAGCCAGCGCAGAGACCACCCAGCAGGAATCTCCAGAGGACCACGTCTGTGGGGAGAGCAACCAACGGCATCAGCACAGCTCGAGGAGCCACTGGCACAACCCCAGCCCCAGCCACCACAGCTTCAGTCTGGAATCATGGAACGATTCAGGTTGGAAAAGCTCTCTAAGATTGGCAAATCCAACCATTCCCCCAGCATTGCCAAGGCCACCCCTCACCCACATCCCCCAGTGCCACATCCACGGGTCTTTTCAACACCTCCAGGGGTGGGGACTCCACCACTGCCCTGGGCAGCCAGAGAAGAGTCCCAGACTCCCCAGCTGAGCCCAACACAGCATCCAGGCTTGGATCCAGGGGTGGCCAAGCTGAGCTGGGGAAGCAGGAGATGGCAGCCCAGCCCAGCCAAGATTACCTGGTTCAGGAGCTTGTGCATGTAGGCAGAATAAGCCACCTTCTTCTTCTTCTGCCTGTGGGGCCGGAGGCAGAGGAGGCTCTGCCAGGCACATCCATCTGCTGCCTTCACCCTCAGAGGCTCAGGAAGGGCAGAGGGTCCTGGTTCCATCCCTGCTGCCCACACACAGTGCTGGGGTGACACTCAGCTGTGGATCCAACACCTCTGCCAAGGGGGAACAGAGGAAGGGCTGAACATTCTGCTGCCCTCACATCCCCCCCACCTCACCCTGCTCTCCCCAGGGCACTCATTGGCATCACACAAATGAGGCACTTGCAGTAACACCAGAACCAGCCAGCATGGTCCAGAAACAAGACCTAAAAACATCCTCCATGGAGCCAAATACACCAGAAAACAAAGTGCAAATAGAGAATTTTAGGGAATTTAGAAGTGGGGAATTCTTTTTCCTTCCCAGCTCACCTTTGAGAGCTCCTCCAGCCTCGTCCTCCTCCAGGAACAGGGAGGGAAGGGGGATCTGCTGCCTGTAAATAGGGAGGGAGCTCATTGCTTTCAGCTGGGGCTGCAGCCATCGGGGCCCACCCAGAGCCCGAGCTGAGCTCAGCTGGTTGGAGGTGCTGACAGAGCCAAAGTTGGGGCTGCATTCACTGGGGAGTTGGGGTCACTGATCCTGGGGGGTCCCTTCCCACTCTGGGAGCTGCAGGGATTGGGGTGGGACAGGGATGGCCACACCACCTCACACCTGCACCCCCATCTCCTGCACCCAAACCAGCCATTCTTGCCCAAAATGTTCTCTGGGGTGAATCTGACCCTGCTCCCAGGTCCCCCCTGCCCCAGTGCCCTAATTAGTATCATTAATGTAATTAGCTGGTTCTGGGTGGTGCCGGGGTGTTCCTGGGGGACTTTTCATGTGCTTTATTCTGCATTAATTTGGGGGTTCAGTAAGTGCCACAGTGAGCAGGGTCTGGGGGGGCACCTAGGGGTGCTGGGGCAGTGACTGACCCTGCCTGTGGGGTCCTGGAGTGGGCAATTCCCTTTTCCCTGGATCCCTGTCCCATCCCGCCCTTTTCCCTGGATCCCTGTCCCCCATCCCTTCCTTTTCCCTGGATCCCTGTCCCATCCCTCCCTTTTCCCTGGATCCCTGTCCCATCCCTCCCTTTTCCCTGGATCCCTGTCCCCATCCCATCCCTTTTCCCTGGATCCTTATCCCATCCCTTTTCCCTGTCCCCTATTCCATCCCTTTTCCCTGGATCCCTGTCCCCTATCCCATCCCTTTTCCTGGATCCCTGTCCCATCCCTCCCTTTTCCCTGGATCCCTATCCCATCCCTTTTCCCTGGATCCCTATCCCATCCCTTTTCCCTGGATCCCTGTTCCCCATCCCATCCCTTTTCCCTGGATCCCTGTCCCCTATCCCATCCCTTTTCCCTGGATCCCGCCCATCCCTTTTCCCTGTCCCATATCCCATCCCTTTTCCCTGTCCCCTATCCCATCCCTTTTCCCTGGATCCCTGTCTCCCATCCCTTTTCCCTATCCCCTATTCCATCCCTTTTCCCTGGATCCCTGTCCCCCACCCCATCCCTTTTCCCTGTCCCCTATCCCATCCCTTTTCCCTGGATCCCATCCCTTTTCCCTGTCCCCTATCCCATCCCTTTTCCCTGGATCCCATCCCTTTTCCCTGGATCCCTGTCCCCTATCCCATCCCTTTTCCCTGGATCTCTATCCCATCCCTTTTCCCTGTCCCTGTCCATCCTCCTGGATCCCATCCCTTTTCCCTGTCCCCATCCCATCCCTTTTCCCTGGATCCCCTATCCCATCCCTTTTCCCTGGATCCCTATCCCATCCCTTTTCCCTGTCCCCTATCCCATCCCTTTTCCCTGGATCCCTGTCTCCCATCCCTTTTCCCTGTCCCCTATCCCATCCCTTTTCCCTGTCCCATCCCTTTTCCCTGTCCCCTATCCCATCCCTGTCCCATCCCATCCCTTTTCCCTGTCCCCTATCCCATCCCTGTCCCCCCCGCTGTCTCCGCCAGGGGGCGCTCCCGTCGCGCTCGGCCCGGGCGGGGCCGGGGGGGGCAGTGCCGTGTTCGGCCGCCAGGGGGCGCTGAGCGCGGGGCCGGCCCCGCCCCCCCCGCAGGTGACACCCCCAGCCCCCCCCGGGCGGGGAGCGGCGGGAGCGGCGTCCGAAGCGCTCTTGAACCGCACTGAAACCCGCACTGAACCCGCTCCTAGAGCCCTCCGAAACCGCCTGTCCCGGCACTGTCTCCTCGCCGCTCTCCCCCCGGACGTGCCCCGCGGCCGCCATGGCGGAGCAGGAGAGCCTGGAGTTCGGCAAAGCCGACTTCGTGCTGATGGACGCGGTGACCATGCCCGAGTTCATGGCCAACCTGCGGCTGCGGTGAGTGCGGGGCGTCACGGGCTTATCCCGGGGGCTTGAGGGTCAGGGGGTGAAGCCGCTCCGGAGGGCACCGAGCAAATCCCCACGGGACTGTGGATTTTGCCGTGGAATGGGAGAGCCGGGTGGGTGCGCAGGGAGCACCGAGCCTTGCTCTGTCATCGCCCTGCAGACCTGCCCCGTGTCCCCCTCTCCACACCCACCTGCCCCGTGGAATCGGGGAATGGTTTAGGGGCGAAGGCATCCTGAGGACTTCACTTTTAAACTCTACGTTGTCGGTCTTTCCCTATATCCCAGAGTCATGGAATGGTTTGGGTGGGAAGGAGCCCTAAAGTCATCCCGTTCCACGCTCTGCCACGGGCAGGGATGCCTTCCAGCATCCCAGCCTGGCCTTGGACACCTCCAGGGATGGGGCAGCCACAGCTTCCCTGGACAACCTGCCCCACTCCCCTCTCCAAGGTTTCTCGCCTGTACTGATGCCCTGTAAAGTTACTTTGAAAAAAAAAAAAAAAAAACAAAAAACAAACAAAAAAGAGCAATAAAAGTCTCCAAGTCCAAGGTTGCTCCATCCTGGACTCGTGAGTTAACATTTCCTCATCTTTATGGTTTTATTTCCCCTGTGGATGCGGTGGGTGCTGGGAAGATCCACGTTTTCCTGGCTGTTCCCTTTGGGAAGTGCCGCTCAATCCTGGGCAGCGCTGGCGGAGCGCGGCCAGGGGGACCCCAAGGCTGCCTTTCACTTTCCGCTATAAAACATTCATGGCAGCTGTTCCCGAGATAAACTCTCGTGCCCCTGCCTGTGCAAGGATTTGAGGATTGCCGGAGGGAAGAGTTGGGGGATGAAAACGTGATTTACTGGCTGTGTCCCCCAGGCTTCACTGCCTGTCCCCTGGAATCTGGGAATGGTTGGAATCAATGACCTGTGGGGTCTGTGTTGCTGTTGGACACACCTGAGAGTGGCTTTGGCAGTACCCAAGGGAGGAGAGAGGGTTTAAACTCCCTCAGCAGGCTTAAAACTTCTGAGGAAAGAGAAAATTAAGCTTTTTTGGACAATTGCAATGAAATCTGCAGGTTTCCCGCTGAGTGCTGGGGAATCTTTGTGCCCCACGGATGGCCCCGTGTCCTGCAGGGCCAGGGCTGGCATCCTGTGAGCTGTAATAACACCCAGAATACTTCATGCTGGTTTTCTTTCATATTTGGGATTTCTGTTTGGGCAGAGAGGGCGTTTGTACTTGAACACCACGAGAAATGCAGTGAGGAGGGTTGAGCTTTGAACGTGAGGCAGTGCCAGATTTAAATTCATTTTGCAGTGCCTCCAGAAGTGTAACTCAGTTGTTGGTTTGGGCACTCTGTGGCATTCTAATCGTGTTAGAAAGGGCTCCTGCTAATTTCCTGTAATTAGCAGGAAACTTTGCGTGTCACAGTTTGTTCCTGGGGTTTTGTTCTTTAGTTAATGTGTAATTCTCAGATGTACATTGTCATTTCCAACACAGTGAAGGATTGGAAATGGATTGTTTGATAGCTGAAAAATCAACACAGGACGTTGGTTGCCTTAAGGAGGCAACTTAATTAATTGAGAGGTGCCTGGCAGGGGCAGACTTGGCTAATTTTGGATGGAAGGATGAGTAGAACAAGAGAACAGGCCGGTGGTTCTGGATCCTGATGTGTAACTTGATTTATTTTTTTTTGTCTGTGCTGTTGCTGATTGTGCCTGAGGGTGTTGTCAGGATATCTCTGCTGTGTTTAATACACCCCTTAACTCCAGGGCCTTGGTCCCAGGAACTCAAACCCACTCAAAGCCAGGCTTGTTCCTCTGACATCAGTTCAGACTGATACACACTGAGCTCAAGGCTTGTCTGCAGTGGGACATTTGGGAAAGCTGACCTAAATTTCCCCCAAGTGTGGCTTTTCAGGGAAGTTTCCGAGCTCTGCCGAGCGTTGGGTGCTGCTGGGGCTGTGGTGGCCCCTGGGCTGCTGACCCAGCCCCACTCCTGGGGTTCTGCAGTGCTCGGGCTGCTCTGGTGACACTGCCCTGCAGAGGGCAATTAACTCTTGCTGCTGACACACCTGGGATTGTCAGAGCCCAGAGCCTGCCCTGCTCCAGGGGTGGGTGCCAGCTGTGCCCACGAGTGCCCTTTGTGCCGGTCAGGAGCTGAGCAGAGTGATTGAGCAAAGTGAGGGACGTGGTGCTGCTCCAGCATTGGGTTTGCTCCCTCTGCCCTTGGAGGGGCTCCACCCTTTTCCATAAATCCAGCTTTCTGCCAGAGCTATTTTTGCTCGGGATCACTGGCTGACCCCAGACGGGCTGTGCTGGATTCAGTTCCCAAGTGAGCCCAGCTGTGGGTGGAAGGGAGCTCATACCAGTTTGGGTGCACACGAGGATATTTCCCCCGGGGGTGTCTCCAGTGGGGAAAAAGGAGGAATGGTGAAGTTGCACTTTTCACTGGTGTGATGTTTGGATTTGGGGGTGCTGATGGTGGGCTGGGTGAGCCTGTCTGGGCCAGGGGGGTGGATGCAATGGGACTTCCTGCCTCATTTCCCAGCCCTGGTTATTTGTAGGTGTGAGTGGTGATTCAGCAGGGATATGGCAGTGCCAGTGCTTTTTCATGGCCATGCCTTAACAGCTGCTTAATGAACTGGCTCTTTCACTGGACACTCAGAACGTTACAATTTATCGTAAATAAAAGTCATCCCGTCCTTGAATTCCGTAGTTCTCAGTCCCAGAGTCTGGTTTTGATCCTTAGTCATCAGAATAATTAAAAAAAAAATTATGAAAGCAGGACTATGGGAACAGTTAGTGTGGACTCGGTAGCTTTGTTTCTTTGGAGAAACCTCCAGAGCTTTACCAGACAATTGTTTCCTGGAGGGCTTGTAAATCAGAATTGTTACAAACAGCCGAATTTGAGCAGTTTGTGCATCAGCATTTGCCTTCAGACTCACCTCTGGGGGCAGGTGCTCTGCTGCAGGAGGAGCTGGCATTTCAGTGCCAGTCAGAGGCTGTCACGTTAATTGAAAGGCTCCTCAAAACAGGGAATCTTTTCCATGTCCAGCAGCTCTCAGGTCCCTCAGTGGCAGCCAAGTATTCCCCTGTAAGGGAAGGGAGAACATCCTGCTTTGGAATTGCTAAAACTCCTCGTTTCTGTGGCTTTGACTCAACAGGACTGAGGCTGTTCCACAGCAGGTGGAGCAGGGTGGTGCTTGTGGAGCGTTGGAGGGGCTGGAGCTGCTCAGCTCTTGCAGAAATTGTGCTGTGGATGGAATTGGATGGGACCTGTGGGTAAATCCAACATCCCTAAATCCCATCTGAGGGCTCTGACAGGCAGGGGGAAAGCAGACAATTATTATTGCAGCGTCAGGGGAGCGTTTTGGGGCAGTGTCTTTGTGTTCCCAGGTCTGCCTCGTGGGCAGGTGCCACCTGACTCATCTTCTCCTGATTTCCAGCGAGTTGCTGGTTTTTCATCAGCACCCTGATGATGTGCAAATGCCCTCCTGGGAACACAACAGATGCCGTGTCACTGGTAGGAAAAGACTCAAGGATGCGTGAAAGAAAGGCAGTGAGAGCACCTGGTGATGTGTAATGGTTGTAAAATTAATTCTGGGTTGTTTTCCATGTTTGTTTTTTTTTTTTTAACTAGTTGCAGCATGAAACCCCGTGGGGAGGGCTGCAGTTGCTGCTCAGATGGTTCCTGGTCATCCCAGCCCACCTGAGCCTGAGGACGTGGTGCAAAGAGCTGTGGTTTGATAGTCCTTGCACTTGTCTCCCCGCACATGTGGTGATTTTGTGGCCTCTTCCAGCAGCACTTCATAAAAACACAGTTAAAAAGGTGGTTTTTCTCCTGTTCCTCAAGTATTTTATAGCACAAGCTTCAGCATTTTCAAATTAATCATGGAAACACAGAACGTGCTGAGCTGGAAGGGACCCATCAGGATCCAACAGAGTCCAACACCTGGCCCTGCACAGGACACCCCAACAGATCTGAATTCCTATTTACTGCAGACACTTTTGAAAAAAGACTGATAATATTTTATTTTTTTTTTAATGATCTTTGGCATCAGGAATCTGTCCTGAAGATCTGGTTGTCCTCTGAGAATGTCCTGTGAGCGTTTGCTGTGCTGGGGACGTGGGTTGGAGCCCTTGGAAAAGGAGTTGTAGCAAACTTTGAGACAGGGAGCTGAGCTTTAAAAATGGAAGTTGTGCTGGCAGAGCTTTGGCTTCAGGTGAGGTGGTGAACTGGATTTGATCCCAGCAGAGGAAATACTGGGTGAAAGCCTGGTTGCATTTGTGCTCATGCTAATGAAATATTCACGCTTCATAAACGAGCCTTTTTATGCCTCTAAGTCATTTGGATTCCCTCATTTTAAATAGTTAGGAATGTTTTAATTGCTCGTGTGGCGTGGAATTAAAGAGCTGCTGGGAAGAGTCTGTTTTCCCCCCTCCAGGGAGAGGGGACCTGCCTTCTGTGGGTGCTGCAGGACACTTCTTGGGCCAGTGGAGTCCCATCAGCTCTTCCTGGCTGCTTCTGAGCTGCTCAGCTTGCAGGGAGCTGTCTCGTGTCAGGATTTGGAATGAATGGAATGAAAATTCCCCCTGGGCTGTCAAAATTCGACTTACGAGAGCTTGGCCGGGGCCCAGCTCGGCCTTCAGGGATGGAAGAGGCCCATTGATCTCGCTTGGAAAGCAAATCCCAACTGGACAAGCAGCACAGGGAGGCTCCAGGCCGGCTTCCCAACTCCACAGGGTGATTCCTGACAGCATTCCCATGATCCAAGCTTTGAATGAGGGGATGGCCAGCCTGGCGTTGGTTTGGCCTCTGTGTGTGCTGAGTTGAAGTGATTTCAGTGGATCTTCTGCCCTCCCTGCCTGGTAAAGCCTCCTCAGATTGGGGTTTTACAGGAGGCTTTTTGTAGCAGGTGGGTGGGGTTTGGTGGCTCCCAATTTTAGCACAGGGGCGTTGAATAACAGATGAGCTCGGATTTATGAATGGGATCAGTCTTGCAGGGGG